TAACAAAATAAATATATTATAAAATAACAAAAAGATTTGTTAATTTTGAATAAAGAATGTAAATAACAAAACTTTTTAAATAAAAAAAGTACAGTTTAAAATAAAAAACTATTTTAACGAGCGAAAAAAAAAAAGTTACATTTTTGTTACGCAAATATGAAAAATATTGATGATCTACACATGTCAGATGATTGTTAGACTTTATAGATCGATTTCGGCAAGTTTGACATGTTACCTATAATCAAAATGTTTTCATTTTTATTCATTCTGATTTTTTTTATTTTTTTATTTAATTCTAATTTCTTTTGTTCTTAGTTATAATTAAATAGCAATTTCGGAGGTTTAGATTGCCGACTTTGAGACAACACTTGATTAATTAAATAATTTTTACATCATAATAATTGTAAATTAAAATCCTTCTGCTACATTTAAATGTTTATAAATATAAACGCAAAGAACTGACTGATAAAAAAACTAATTGATTGCGGATATGTTCTTCAAATATATTAGAAAAAATTAAAAACACAAACTAATTATCTTATAACTTCTTGTATAAATTAACATAAGTTTACGAATTTATTATAATTATCAAAAATGTTAAAAATTAATTCTTATTCAATCAATATTAACAAAACTTCAATTCCTCATAAAGGATCTAAATGCATAACATATGGATATATGTAGAATACTGTATAACTTTAAACAATTGACAAATTGTGTAAACTATAATCTTCATCATCAGCGACAAACTTCTTTTCTTCGAATCAGACATTCATCTTCATCTCCTTTCACAAAAAAAAAAAAATTCACTTTTTAATCAGGGAAACGAAATGAAGTAAAGGTAAAAAATTCTAATTGGCATAAGTTGGAAGTATTACTACGTCATTATTCTCTCAACATGCGATACATAATTATCCACCAGAATTCTACAACCCTTAAGATCGCGCTTCTTGTACAAACCGCTTATTTTCTTGTCATTTGGACGTTTACAGTAAAAATGGAGGAAGCTACAGAAAAAATATAGATTATTTTTATTTTAGTAAAATAAGTCCAGACATTAACTCAAAAATTAGATTTCCTCCCCTGATAGACGTAAACCCCAAAAAAGTAATGAATGGTAAAAAGCAATTTCTAATGGCACAACAATTGAAGCGAAAGAAATTATCTAACCATTTCATGATAAAAAAAAATCAGCAGCACATAATCGACAAACAAATCGATAAATTTCGGAAAAATCGGTAAAGTTCAGAAATAATCAAAATAGTTAGTTTTAAAATTTATTTATGTTAACGTCAGTTAAATTTCGTATTTATAAATAAATAAATAAAATAAAATATTTCCATTTTTAATTATAAATATTAATTGAATGAATTAAATCAATATTTTTCGTTATTAATATCAATTTCTATATGATCTTTTTCTAAAAGGAAATCAATTTTAGCTTCATTTTTTTCTAAAAGAAAGTCAATTTTGGCTTCTAATATTTCAAATTTTTTTAATAAAACTATATCATCGGTTGGTTTTTCAAAATCTTTTATCATTTCTGCCAACTTTTTTAATTTATCAGAAATGTGTGGTTTGTAATCTGATAATGAATTATCTATTTCTGTAATCTTTTGTCTAACCTTTTCAATCGGCATATCATAGAATCTATATAACAAAAAAGGGTAGATGATAAGCTCCTATTATTGCAGATGTGTCAATCAATTATAAATAACTTACATCAAATCCGGAAACCAATGTTGCCACCTTCGTTGATTTGGAAGTAGTAGAAAAAGCTCAATTTCAGCCAAAACTTTTGCTTTTCGAAGCATAAACAGGCAATGTGTTTTATTCTGTTCAATTTCTAAGTTAAGCAACCCAATAAATAAATTCATGAGATAAACAACAATTAGGCATGAAAACATAATTAGCAGAATTGTCATGAAAGGATTTTCCATATATGTCCATGAGCTAAGTGCCGAAGGATCTCCCGTTAAAAACAAATACATGGCTAAGAGTGAAGTTTTATAAGTGGCAAACTGATTTACATTTGAATCAGGTTGCTTAATATAAGCTATTTCAGAACTAATTGTGTTGTCAGGAGAAACTGATTGATATTGATCAACAAGATTCCAGGGATTATTTGGATCATCATTCTTTACAGGATGATTCATATCATAAATTTCATTTGGGGTCAAAATAATATAAAAAGCATGTGCGAAGCCAATTAAAAAAAGAAATAATATTAATAAGAAAGAAAGTATCCTCCTAGCTACACCGACGATAATAGTAAAATGAGAACCAAAGTAATCCAGTGCTCGCAAAAATGTGATAAATTTAAAATGTAAGAATAAATTTGATATAGAAATCAATGCCAACTGAGGCTTTTCACGACATAACCAAAAGATAGCAGTATATACTGGTAAAATATATGCAGCAAGATCTAGAGGAAAAAAAAGTAAATCTTTTGTTGATGATTAACAATATCAAGTAGAAGAAACTGCATACCAAAAAAATTCCATAGATTTGTAATATATTCCATCGGATCCCAAAAATATTGTCTAAGTTCATGAAAAATATGAAATGAACCAATAATAATGCTAATACGTAAAAGAGTATCTGTAATAACAGATGTGGGCATGGTTGAAGCTACTCCAAAAGAAACCAAAAATATGGTAAAAACTCCCCACATAAGTCGATAGTAATATTTTCCAAAAGTATTCCATTTGAAATTGAGTAATGCCTCAGCATTCCAGCTATCATAAAATGCTTGATCATCCAAGGAAACAAATGGATTAGTTGGTGGTTTTAGTAATTCTTTCCAGAAATTATATTTAGGAGAATACTTTGTAAAACCAAGGTATGGAATAACAAAACTAACAACCCTTTTGTTTGAATATTTTTTGATATTAGTAATGCGGAGAATAAAATTACAAAAGTTTGGAATAATTATATTCAATTTAAAATAAGCCCGGATCATAATAAAATTCAGAAAATTTAGAAAATATTGAATTGTATCACAAGGATATATTTGAACAAAATTCGCATGATCAGTATAACCAACCAATTGCATTTCTTTGGATAAATAAGATACATCTTTGTTCGGATTTAGAATAATTGAGGTATTAGAAAGTAACTTTGAATAATGAATGGGAAATTCTAAATACAAACTTTGAAGATATTTTGTGATAATTCTATAGATTTTAAAATGAGTCAAATGAGTCACAATATCATTGGTAAGGAGCTCATATAATATGTCGAGGCATTCACTTAGAATTTCACTTTCTTTATTCTCAATAGCAAAATCAATAATTTCATCGCTCTTTTCTATGATATACATTTTTGCATATAGGAGTTCCATGATCATATTTTTTTTATCCTCCTCTACTGGAATATCTAGGTTTGAGCATGGAATTCTTTTGCATTCAAGAAATTTTTTTATATCATGATAAAAATATTTCTTAACAATCTTATTGGATTTAAGGCCAAAAATAATGATTCCAGATTTGTCATAGATTATTACGTCATCGTCAGCATTATCCAACATTTTAAGTCCAAAGATATCGATGTCGTGGCCTAAATTCTTATAAGCTAAAGGAATTTTAAATATATCAATGTCTTCTACAATTTTAACATCTTTGGTTTTATTATAAACGTATAAAACATCAGGAATAGAGAAAATCCATATCAGTTTTTTCCCAACGTCACCAACTTTCCCTCCTTCTATTTTAATCCTCCCCTCATACGAATCTCTTATGTATTTAAATCTTGAATAAATAGATAGCATTTCATCATTCTTATCGGGAACGATAAAGACATTATCATACAGCTTTCTACTAATTTCATCACTCTTTTCGAGAACGTTATATTCTATTATTTGTGTAAGTATTTCATTATATTGCGAGGCTGGTAATTTTGTAATTGTGAAAATTCCATTGGGTATGAATTTTTTAAGATCATATTTATATTCACACGTGTATGAGAGCTCATAGGGATCCGTAACCACATATTTAATCTCTTCGTTCTTTATGTCTAATGAATATAACATCAAAACTTCAATATTATTGCTTTCTATAAATCGGATCTTTATATCGGTATCGTGACCCTCAAGTTTGATCTTTCCTATTAAATGATTAGTTAATCAATCGAATCATTGAAAAAAAAAAAGCAGCAAATAATATTTGAATGCTTACTTGATGAAATTAGAAAGCCATTTTTCATTGAATAAACACATAAAAAAGCGCCATTTGCTTGTTTCAAGTATATTGCAAATAAACTCATATCGCTATTTACTGTCCCAATCCATTTATAGCTTTTTGGAACGATGTATTTATTTTCAATAGTCCATTTTTCTGTGTTTACTTGAATTATCATAACTGAATCTTTTAGGGTAAAGAAAATTTTTCCATTTATTTGCTCCATTTTAATTATTTTTCGAAAATCGACCACGTCGTGCATTTGAAGGTCAACCATTTCTAAGCCACCTCGAATATTGACCATGCGTAAGCGATATTTTGAAGAATATTTATACGTTGAATTTTTCAAAGAAGTTTCTGTAAAAACAAACATATATTGTGCTCGCAACAATAGAAGATTTCCATTTGGAAGAAATTGTAAAAAATTTCCGTGACTTGGATTTATTTTAGTATTTGTATTTCTCAGAGTCTTCATATTTTCCATATCTAGGATAGTTAGACCATAGAAATCAGTTTCATCCTCAAAACCACTAATCAATAAGTTACTATTTGATAATCTTAAAAGAGAGGGTGAATGCTCCCGAAAATCTTCGCATGTTTGATTTTTTATGATTTTGTTATTATCTAAATCAACGGTCCACAAAATCAAAGATGCATCATCACTAGTAACCATATATTTCATATTCGGTGAACAAACGATATTTTTAATCTCTTGCTTAACATTTTCTTCGGTATAAAGAGAAACTTTGTCATCATTTTCAACACGTTGTTCAGACATATCAGATACCTAAGACTTAAAGAAGTTAATTTAAGTAATTTATATATTAGCCAGGTTTTTGTATAAATATTTACTTATGAAACTTGAGTAACGTGAGATAATGTTACGCTACATACGGAGCACAATAGTTATGTAGATCGTTTTTTAGTTAAGAAAATCCTATTGTTCATAACCGACCGACCGTTACCATCCCTAATTTTGGATTCTTTTTGAGAAAATTGAAAATGTGATTAAGGGGGTAATCGTTGACGGTAAAGAAAAAAAAATTAAAAAATTATTATTTATTACTTATTTATTAGGAGGTTTGCTATTAAAATTAAGTTACGGTTCATATGTTTACTACGTTCTAACTGATTTAATAGTAAATCCCCCATTTAATAATTTAAAGCATAGTGCAGTGCAAATCGAAATAGATGTAGTATTTATATCATTTTTTTTATTTCTTTTTTTTAAAAAAAAATATTGAATTTTCATGATATTTTCGATGAATGAAATAATTTTAACTATCCCGTGTTTTTTACCCCTAGATTTGACAAAGTACCCGGGTATGTAGATCTTAAATGCGTGCCCTATAAAAACTTTCGCGTCTAACCTTTTACTGTATATCGCACTTGTATTGTGATTATGTTCACGCTTTTTTTTAAAAAATTGGGTGTGAGAGGAAACGGAAAGACTAAACTTTCATTAAAAAAAGGCAATGGTGTGGTATGCGAAAAATTAATGGTCTTACAATTTTTTGGAAGGCAAATAGTGTTCATGCAACAGAAAAACATTTTGGTTTAGAATCAAGTCAAGTTCGTGGTTGGAGGAAAAAAAGGTATGTTAATCTTCCGCACCTCATTTATTAAAATTATATAGCAGTAAACAACCATTTTTTTTTTCTGAATTAGAACAAAAATTAACAGAATGGATTACAAATTGTCATGCACAAAGTTTACCAATTACTAGAAACATGGCAGTAAAAAAGCTAAAGAACTTTCAAAAACTGAAGAATATCAAGAAAAGTTCCCTATGATTTTTTCATTTATTTTCACAGAAATGGATGAATTGCTTTATGATCCGTCAATCTTTCAAATAGCGAAGAACAACTTTATCACCAGAAGATTTGCTTGAAAAACAACAGAATTTCTTGAGTTTTATTCTTTATAGAAGGATACATGATTATTCTCCTCAATTTATTGAAATATGAATGAAACTCCTATTTCTTTTTATTTACCTAATTCTTAATAATAATTTTTAATGTTTTATCTGATTTATAATTAAAAATTTCGGATTGATTTAATTTTATTTTGTTTATTAATATTTTTATTTTAACAAATTTGATTTTTAAATTTTTTTTTTTTCAATTTTATTATTTTTTTTTCGGCGATTTTTGATTTTTTGAATTTAATTTAATTTTTAATTTTCGCAATTTTTTTTTTGTTTAATGTTCATTTTTTAATTAAATTTATTTTTTTTAAAAAATTTAAATACCCGCGATTTTATTTTTTATGTTTTATACTTTATAATTTGCATATGCTGTCCCCATTTTTTAATTAATTATTTTTTTATGTTTGGATTTAATTTATTCTCAAGCACCTAACTCAAAAGAACGATCGATTATATTCGATTAATCAAATATCAAAAATCGAATCTTAGAGTTGAATCTTAAGACACGATAATCGCGATTAAATCGATTAAATCGATTCTTTAATCGATACTAAATATCGAAGTCGATTCCAATCCCTACCTAATATGCATTTGGCCTAAATGATCATTTCAGATATCCCAAATGCTCACTTCAGATATCCTAAATGAACACTTCAAATAATGTCCCAGAGATATCTCAAATGACCACTTCCTTCGAACTGTTCCGGATGACCATTTGAATTTATTTAGTTTAATATATTGACATTGCGAGTGTAGAATGCCTATGTTGAGGCAACACTGGTTAATTTGATATTATTAAATATATTTAGCGTCAAATTACTTTATTTTACTCAAAAAAAGACCTTCTGCTAACGTTTAAAATTGTTTATAATACATAAACAACAACAATACTATATTCTATAAAAAAATTATCCATATTTAGTTAATAGTGTAAATCTCACGACCTAATATAGTTTCAATATACATTATTTGATAGATACTTATGTTCATGCTCATTAATATGATATTTAATATTGACATTGAAGATAGTTTAAGTCTATTATTATTTTTTATAAATAAACTAGTTGCTGTCCTGTTGCAAAGCAACGGGTAAATCACGTGACGTTATGCAGACTTAAAAAAAGGAAATTAGATCTTTTAATAAAAATCGGTTTTAAATAACTTCCGTTGCGAAGCAACGGAAGCAAATCACATGACGATATACAAAATTCAAAAGAAAACTTGTGTAACTAATTTTAAGATACAAGCATCCTTAACCTAAGATGGGGGTGTAGACCTTTATCCTAAACCGGGATATATGATAAGATCTAATATATATAAATAAGAGATTATTTTTTTTAATTTTTTTTTTTTACAGCTCACTTTGTTTACTACTCCATTTACTGCAAATTTCGTTTTAGAAAAGTAAGTTATTTCTTTTTTTACAGGTATATTTTATTTTATTTATTTTTATTCTATGGTTGAACCAATTTTTAAAAATAAAATATGCTAAAATAAATTTATAATAAAAATGTAATGAATAAATAAATACTGTATTGTTAAGATAGTTTATTACTATGCTAACTGCTTTATAATTATAGAAGCTTATATGGATATATTCTATTAGTAAAGATATAGTAAAATGTAAATTATGTATTTAATAAGTTTGTTTTTGTTCAATAAATAATCATTTTTAACAAAAAGAATAAATCATGTTTCATTTAATAATAAATCTTCTAAAATGAAAAATAAAAGTTACGAGAAATATTTTCTTGCTTTTTTTTTCGATAGAAGTTCCCTTTTAATAAATTTAATTTTTTACTGAATTATTTTTTTTAAAAAATAAAAAAATTTTCAACGTATATTATCTAGATTTTATTATATGATCTCTTTTCGTATGTCAATCAATTACAAGAATCGAAATTTAAAAATAAGAAGATGGCAAGAATTTATTAATTAAAATACAAAGGAAACTATCTCAGTCGGGGATCTGTAATAGGCCTTTTTGAGAAGTTCAGTTGTGTCGATGGAAGAATCGGATGATAACCTTAAAAAAATGGAAAAGGAATCAACTTAGGCTGCCTATTCCTTTATTCCTTTACAGAGCTTGTTATAAATATTAAATAAAAATATAATTGTTACTTTCAAATATTAATTAAGGCCGGCCGCTAGCCAGCCATGATAATAAATCTAGTTAGTCATTCTTAACACGAGGTAAATTTTGGATCCTCAAGGTTATTCTTATTGAAAAGAGAAATATAGTATTGAAAGTAATTAAATTTATTTTACTAAATAGCTTATTAACGTTTAAAAGAACAAAAAAAAAAAATTTCAATTTCCCGTCAAAATGTCAGAAATCTAATTTTAAAAGGTAAAATTCATGTGCAACATTTGTCGCCATATAAATAATGAAAAAAAAAAATTTCTGAAATCTTTTTTTTTCTTTATTAAAAATGAGGGACGAAACCTATTAATAACAGTCGAAACTTATACGAAACTATATTAAATTCATAATAAGAGATACGACGAAAACCTTTCGATACGACGATAGCTGAAACTGTTGAAACTATATTAAAGACATAGAACGAAATTATTTTGAGGAGTTTTCGCCAAGCATCTATAACGATGAGTGACGGTAAGCATAAGTTTTGTATAAACTTTTTTATTAAAGATTTTTCAATATTTTCCTAAAAAAAAAGATGCCAAGGATCATACTACACTAAATGAAAAAAATAAAATTTCACGAATAATTTCATAATAAAATTGTCAACTTCTAAATTAGATTGTTAAAGCTACTTTACAGTTTTTCTAATAACTAAATTTCTAATTTTATTTGATTTATTTATTTTTTTTTTAAAAAAATAGATTAGCGTTATCTAACGCTAAGGATACTACTAAAATAGTTGGTAAGCTAATTTACATATTTTCTTATTAATAAAATTTATGATATTATTAATTTACATATTTTCCTGTCTATTTAATTATAATTTTTGAAATGTCATATAAATATATTTTTTTTTTAATGAATTAATTAGCATCATCCAGAATACTGCATGCACTGCTGAAGTAGATGGTAAAGGTGAACCTCTTAAAACAAATGGTAAAATTAATTTTTACAAATTATAATTTTTTAATTTATGATAATCAATTTCTAAATAATTATATATTTTTTTTTTATAAAAATAAATTAACCATTTAAAACATAAAGGCGAAACTCTAGAGAAATTTCGAATCATAACTCAGTTTGTCTTAGAAGATGATCATACATTTAGGACATGCAGAAATAATAAACAACTATTAGATGAAACAATAGAAAGAGAAGATGGTAAAGTTAATTTCACATTATCCAATTTAAATATAATTTTTTGAATTATGTAAAATTAATATTTTTTAATGAATTAATTAGCATCATCCAAGAGTACATAAGTACATGGTAAAGCTACTTCAGATGGTAATTTACATGTTTATAATATTATATTTTTTTTAATTTTAATTATTTATTGTTTTTTAATCAAAAATAAATTAAATGGCACTTTTTATCGTAAATGGTAGCGTCTGAAGCTCAATTACGATATGGTAATTGTGAGTTAAAGATATTTTAAAATAGCTACTGAATATTTTACCAGAGCGCTGATAATGGTAAAGATGTTAGCAAGTATAATTCTGGTAATTTATTTTTATCTAATCTTGATAATATAAGAAATAATGAATTGGGTAAAAAATATATGGAAATGGCTGCAGAAAAAATCATCATCCGCAAGTTACTGAATATATAGAGAAGCATAAAAGTGTTTTTAAAGTGTAGAGATGTCACTTTTCTTATATAAATTCAATATTTAAATTAATTATTTTTACTATAGAGGTTAGAACTG